CTTGCACACGCTGGGCCCTCGTTCTTGCAATTTTGCACACGCTGGGCCCTTGTCCTTGCAATTTTTCACTCGCTGGGCCTTTGTTCTTGCAATTTTGCACACGGTGGGCCCTTGTTCTTGCAATTTTGCACACGCTGAGCCCTTGTTCTTGCAATTTTGCACACGCTGGGCACTTCTTCTTGCAATTTTGCACTCGCTGGGCCCTTGTTCTTGCAATTTTGCACTCGCTGGGCCCTTGTTCTTGCAATCTTGCACACGCTGGGCCCTTGTTCTTGTAACTTTGCACTCGCTGGGCCCTTGTTCTTACAATTTTGCACTCGCTGGGCCCTTGTTCTTGCAATTTTGCACACGCTGGGCCCTCGCTCTTGCAATTTTGCACACGCTGGGCCCTTGTTCTTGCAATTTTGCACTCGTTGGGCCCTTGTTCTTGCAATTTTGCACTCGCTGGGCCTTTGTTTTTGCAATTTTGCACTCACTGGGCCCTTGTTCTTGCAATTTTGCACACGCTGGCCCTTGTTCTTCCAATCTTGCACACGGTGGGCCCTTGTTGTTGCAATTTTGCACACGCTGTGCACTTGTCCTTGCAATTTTGCACTCGCTGGGCCTTTGTTCTTGCAATTTTGCACACGCTGGGCCCTTGTTCTTGCAATTTTGCTCACGATGGGCACTTGTTCTTGCAATTTTGCACTCGCTGGGCCGTTGTTCTTGCAATTTTGAACTCGCTGGGCCCTTGTTCTTGCAATTTTGCACTCGCTAGGCCTTTGTTCTTCCAATTTTGCACACGATGGGCTCTTGTTTTTGCAATTTTGCACTCGGCGGGCCCTTGTTCTTGCAATTGTGCACACGCTGGGTACTTGTCCTTGCAATTTCGCACTAGCTGGGCCTTTGTTCTTGCAATTTTGCATTCGCTGGGCCCTTGATCTTGAAATTTTGCACTCACTGGGCCCTTGTTCTTGCAATTTTGCACACGTTAGGCCCTTTCTCTTGCAATTTTGCACACGCTGGGCCCTTGTTCTTGCAATTTTGCACTCGCTGGGACATTTTTCTTGCAATTTCGCACTCGCTGGGCCTTTGTTCTTGCAATTTTGCACACGCTGGGCCCTTGTTCTTGCAATTTTGCACACGCTGGTCCCTTGTTCTTGCAATTTTTCATACGCTGGGCCTTTGTTCTTGCAATTTTGAACACATTGGGCCCTTGTTCTTGCAATTTTGCACAAGCTGGGCCCTTGTTCTTGCAAGTTTGCACTCGCTGGGCCCTTGTTCTTGCAATCTTGCACACGCTGGGCCCTTGTTCTTGCAATTTTGCACACGCTGGGCCCTTGTTCTTGCAATTTTGCACACGCTAGGCCCTTGTTCTTCCAATCTTGCACACGCTGGGCCCTTGTTCTTGCAATTTTGCACATGCTGGGCCCTGGTCTTTGCAATTTTGCACTCGCTGGGCCTTTGTTCTTGCAATTTTGCACAGGCTGGGCCCTTGTTCTTGCAAGTTTGCACACGTTGGGCCCTTGTTCTTGCAAGTGTGTACACGGTAGGCCCTTGTTCTTGCAAGTTTGCACACGTTGGGCCCTTGTTCTTGCAAGTGTGTACACGGTAGGCCCTTGTTCTTGCAATTTTGCACACGCTGGGCCCTTGTTCTTGCAATTTTGCACACGCTGGGTCCTTGTTCTTGCAATTTTGCACACGCTGGGCCTTGTTCTTGCAATTTTGCACACGCTGGGTCCTTGTTCTTGCAATTTTGCACTCGCTGGGCCCTTGTTCTTGCAATTTTGCACACGCTGAGCCCTTGTTCTTGCAATTTTGCACACGCTGGGCCCTTCTTCTTGCAATTTTGCAGACGGTGGGCCCTTGTTCTTGCAATTTTGCACTCGCTGGGCCCTTGTTCTTGCACTTTTGCACACGCTGGGCCCTTGTTCTTGCAATTTTGCACACGCTGGGCCCTTGTTCTTGCAATTTTGCATTCGCTGGGCCCTTGTTCTTGAAATTTTGCAGTCGCTGGGCCCTTGTTCTTGCAATTTTGCATACGTCAGGCCCTTGTTCTTGCAATTTTGCACACGCTGGGCCCTTGTTCTTGCAATTTTGCACTCGCTGGGCCCTTGTTCTTGCAATTTTGCACTTGCTGGGCCTTTGTTCTTGCAATTTTGCACACGCTGAGCCCTTGTTCTTGCAATTTTTCACACGCTGGTCCCTTGTTCTTGCAATTTTGCACACGCTGGGCCTTTGTTCTTGCAGTTTTGCACACATTGGGCCCTTGTTCTTGCAATTTGGCACACGCTGGGCCCTTGTTCTTGCAAGTTTGCACTCGGTGGGCCCTTGTTCTTGCAATCTTGCACACGCTGGGCCCTTGTTCTTGCAATCTTGCACATGCTAGGCCCTTGTTCTTGCAATTTTGCACACGCTGGGCCCTTGTTCTTTCAATTTTGCACACGCTAGGCCCTTGTTTTTGCAATTTTGCACACGCTGGGCCCTTGTTCTTGTTATTTTGCACACGCTGGGCCCTTGTTCTTGCAATTTTGCACACTCTGGGCCCTTGTTCTTGCAATTTTGCACACGGTGGGCCCCTTTTGAAGCTATTTTCAAGGCAACTTCACGCTTCGGTTCTACGATCACGCGGTCCTCGGTAGTTGCAGCTGCTGCGTGACATCCCCTCCCTGCTGGACTCCTCTCTATTGATCCTTCTTTGAAAAATAGTAGTGGTAGTAGTCTGCAATGTCTCGGTGTGTCGCAGCCACCCAGGCTGACAGGGCTCTGAGCTCTCGCGAAAGTCGGCAAACCTGACGCTTGCACCGCAATCTCTGCGAAGTAGGCCCTGATTTCGATTAATCACGACTACACACTTAGCTCCGTTCAGACACGTGTTCGCAGAAACTAGAGGAGATTAACGGAGGATAGAGGGAATTGGTGTAACAACCCCGAGGCTGAAAACGTGTTGTATCGCCGAGGATAGAGCGGGTTGGTCTGGGTTCGCAGGGGGGTCAGAGGTGTTTGATCAAGGCAGTAGAGGGGGGGACAGTAACCGTGCTGATCCAGCGCGATGGACGATTGCACGAAGGGGCTGGTGCTGGTGGTGACGTCGAGCGCGTTCATCGGCGGCAGCTTCATCGTCAAAAAGAAGGCCCTCCGCATGTCCGTCGTCTCGGGTATCAGAGCCGGTGCGTGGGACTGTTGGTGGGTGGTGAGTGGGACCAGCAATGGGACGGCTGCTGCATGTGAAGGCTGGTGGGTGTGAGGGGCGGTGGGTGATAGCGCAGGTGGCTTGCCGAGCAGGTTGTTCTCTGAGGCCCATACCGTCTGATGGCCCACGGATTGCTCGCCTGCTTGCTTTGGTGCTTCCTGTGTACAGCTGACGCACTTGGTGTTGGATGGATGGTGGTGTATGATTGCATGGTGTGTGCATGGGATGGTGCCTGCATGGATGGATGGTGATTCACCCATGCATGGATTGTGCATGCATGCTTTGTGATGCATGCATGGTTGGTCATGGTGATGTGCATGTGTGTGTGTGTGTGTGTGTGTGTGTGTGTGTGTTGTGTGTGTGTGTGTGTGTGTGTGTGTGGTGTGTGTGTGTGTGTGTGTGTGTGTGTGTGTGTGTGTGTGTGTGTGTGTGTGTGTGTGTGTGTGTGTGTGTGTGTGTGTGTGTGTGTGTGTGTGTGTGTGTGTGTGTGTGTGTGTGTGTGTGTGTGTGTGTGTGTGTGTGTGTGTGTGTGTGTGTGTGTGTGTGTGTGTGTGTGTGTGTGTGTGTGTGTGTGTGTGTGTGTGTGTGTGTGTGTGTGTGTGTGTGTGTGTGTGTGTGTGTGTGTGTGTGTGTGTGTGTGTGTGTGTGTGTGTGTGTGTGTGTGTGTGTGTGTGTGTGTGTGTGTGTGTGTGTGTGTGTGTGTGTGTGTGTGTGTGTGTGTGTGTGTGTGTGTGTGTGTGTGTGTGTGTGTGTGTGTTGTGTGTGTGTGTGTGTGTGTGTGTGTGTGTGTGTGTGTGTGTGTGTGTGTGTGTGTGTGTGTGTGTGTGTGTGTGTGTGTGTGTGTGTGTGTGTGTGTGTGTGTGGTGTGTGTGTGTGTGTGTGTGTGTGTGTGTGTGTGTGTGTGTGTGTGTGTGTGTGTGTGTGTGTGTGTGTGTGTGTGTGTGTGTGTGGTGTGTGTGTGTGTGTGTGTGTGTGTGTGTGTGTGTGTGTGTGTGTGTGTGTGTGTGTGTGTGTGTGTGTGTGTGTGTGTGTGTGTGTGTGTGTGTGTGTGTGTGTGTGTGTGTGTGTGTGTGTGTGGTGTGTGTGTGTGTGTGTGTGTGTGTGTGTGTGTGTGTGTGTGTGTGTGTGTGTGTGTGTGTGTGTGTGTGTGTGTGTGTGTGTGTGTGTGTGTGTGTGTGTGTGTGTGTGTGTGTGTGTGTGTGTGTGTGTGTGTGTGTGTGTGTGTGTGTGTGTGTGTGTGTGTGTGTGTGTGTGTGTGTGTGTGTGTGTGTGTGTGTGTGTGTGTGTGTGTGTGTGTGTGTGTGTGTGTGTGTGTGTGTGTGTGTGTGTGCATTCTTGCGCGCATGTTGCATGTACCTGCATGTGCAGGCATGGGAGGCCATTCATACCTCAAGGAGCCACTGTGGTGGGTCGGAATGATCTCCAGTGAGTTTCTTCCTCCTTCTCCTGCCCCCTCCCCCTCCCAACCTCTCTCTCTCGTCCCCCTCCTCCTCTTCTCCTCTCTCTCGCTCTCTGCTTCCCGTCATCATTCCTCACAATGCCCTTTCCTGCATCCTTGTTTATCCCCCATTACACTGCCCTTGCCCCTTGTCTCCTCTCATGTTCCCTTTCACTCATCCTCTCTTCACCCTGATCCTCGCCCCTCTTCCACTGCCTTTTATCATTTCCTTGCACGATTTTCGCTCCCTTGCCATTTCCTCTCGTTCATCCATTAGACCATGTGCACCCATGTCCCCATGCCCTCATTCCCGTATGCACCCATGGATGCCCCCATTGCCCCCATGCCCCCATGCACCCATGCCCCCATGACCCATTCCCCTATGCACCCATGCACTCATGCCCCCGTGCGCCATGCCCCCATGTGCCCACCCACCCATGCTCCCATCCGCCAGTGGTGTTGGGAGAGTTTGCCAACTTTGCGGCGTATGCCTTTGCACAAGCCATCCTCGTCACACCACTGGGTGCTCTCAGCATCATCAGGTGGGTGTGTGCCCTTTCGCACTGTCTGACAGACAGACTTATTTCCCACTTCTCCGTCCCACCTATCGTTTGGTGGAGGACAAAACCATGAGAATTGCGGGCCGTGCTGTGGTACCCACTTCTCCTTCCCACCGATCTTTCTCTGCCAATCGCCACCTACTTCACTGCGCTCTCTCGTTTCCGACCTTGCCTTCCCTGGCAGTGCCTTACTAGGGCGCATGCTACTGTATGTGAACTGCACGTGCTGGGGTGGCTGTTGACGCGCCTCAAATTCCTTTCCCCCCTCCGCCGCCCCTCCCAGCGTCATACTAGCGCACTTGCTGCTGGACGAGAAGCTGCACGTGCTGGGGTGGCTGGCTGGCTGTTGACGCACATCTCAATCTCTTCCCCTCCTCCCATCCCGTTCCCCCCCATCGCCCCCTTTGCCGCCTCTCCCAGCGCCATACTAGCGCACATGCTACTGGATGAGAAGCTCCACGTGCTGGGGTGGCTGGGGGCGACGCTGTGTGTGGTGGGGTCCATAGCCATCGTGCTGCACACCCCCCAAGAGATGGAGATTGATAACGTCAAGCAGCTCTGGGCGCTCGCTACTGAACCAGGTGGGATGGTTGCTACTGCCGAGCCAGGTTGATGGGCAGGGGCAGTTGGTTGTGGGGTGTCGTGCTGCACACCCCTCAGGAGATGGAGATCGATAATGTCAAGCAGCTCTGGGCGCTCACCACTGAACCAGGTGGGACCACTTGGCATCGCCGAGCCATGTAGGATTGCTTGCCACTGAGCCACACTAGTGCTGGCCTCCTCTGCCGCCTGCCTCGTCCAATTGCCTCCTCCTTGACGTTCCGTTTCTCTCCCTCCCTTCCACGCCCTAACTTACGCCCTCCCCCACGCCCTCCCCCACGCCCTCCCCCACACCCTCCCCCACACCCTCTCCCACACCCTCCCCCATGCCCTCCCCCATGCCCGTCCTCGTCTACCTCGCTATCTGCTCGCTGCTCAGCTCCATCTCCGTGAGTGCACTCTCTTGACGTGCTCTTTCCTCTGTGCTTTGCAGCTCTCTTTCCTCTGCCCGTCCTTCACAGGATATGGCAGCATGGGCAGCATGTCTTTTGTCAACTACTCTTTGCTCATGCCATGTGTGCCTGCCGCGACTGCGGTGTGTCCACTGCGCATGTCCCTGTGTGAGCTGCCAGGTGGCGAGCTGCAAGGCCCTAGGGATTGCCGTGAAGCTGACCTTGTACGGTGACAACCAGCTCTTCTACCCCGAAACCACCTTCTTTGCCGTTGCCCTTGCCGCCTGTGCCGTCACACAAATCAACTACCTCAACAAGGTGTGTGCCGGTTGATTCATAACAAGAGAGCAGAGCTACCTCGACAAGGTGTGTGCGTTCTGAGTTCGTGTTGAGTGCATGCTGAGTGGACGCTGACTACACGCTCAGCAATATTACCTGGTTGTTACTGTATAGTGCCCGACATGACACACGTGCTGGAGATGTCATAGTAAGATGCCCCACTACTATGTCATCATCACCACCCTCACCCTACTGAGATGCTTCAGGTCCTTACTCGTCATACCTCCCTTTCTTTCTCCCACTCCTCATTCCCATTGAACTGCTTCCTTACCAGTCCCTAGACATGTTCAACACAGCAATGGTAACGCCCATATACTACGTCATGTTCACCACGCTCACCATAGTGGCGTCGGTCATAATGTACAAGGACTGGGCGGGGAAGATGGCAGAGCAAGTGCTCATGGAGTTCTGCGGCTTCCTCACCATCCTCATCGGCACCTACCTGCTCCACGCCACCAAGGACTTTGCGGGCGACTCCTCCCGCCTGCACCTTTTTGACCCCTCTGCTCGTACGTGCTCTCCCTTCCCCTTCTCTCCCATGTGCTCTCTCTTCCCATCTACCCGTACTTTCCGCACTAGTGCACCACAACTATTTGTACTTGTTCCCTTCTCCCCGCATGCTCCCTGATTATCACCTTTTTTCTCATCCTGCGCCCCTGCCCTACACTCCCCTACAGGAGTCACGCCTGCCAAGAACCCGACAGCCCTCAAGGGGCACATAGGGCTGGGCACCATGCCGTCAGGAGGCTCCAAGGATGGTAAAGACGACCTTGACCCTGAGGCCAAACCAATGCTGTGACCGGTGCTTGGCTGCTTTGCATTGCCGCATGACATGCGTTATTTTTTTCTGGTGGTGTATTGTGGTTGGTTTCCAAGTCGCAAAATAAAGCCCCCAACTAGAACCAGTTGTCACATGTGCATAATTCAGTCCAACAACATCTCAAAGGGGGTGCCCTGGCGTTTGCACAATGGCTGAAAACTAGCTGTACACATCAGTAATGCACAGACTGTCGCTAGATCCCAGAATATATGCTTGTTTCGGTATACTTTTTTATCGCAACTTCTCTTTACCAAAGACCCCGTCTGCCCTCGCACCGAACCTTCTGTTTCCCTCCAAAACATTCAAATACTCACACTGAAGGATCTTTTCAGGGCCTTTGCCAGCCAATCCCCGCACCTCCCGAGCCTAACAGCTTCGAGCCTCATGCTCGCTCTTATAACCAAAATATAGAATAGTGAACCCCGTCCCAGCTTGAAAGGGTCTTCCGGAGTGGGTTTGCAAAGCACTGTTTCAAACATTTCGTGTGTGCAGATCGAAGCCATTTGATTGGCTCCCGCCAAAAACGAAATTCTTGGGCCTTACACAAGGAATCGCCTTCAACATGATGCACTCGCACGACGACTGCACGGCGATCATTGCGATCGTTGGGCCCAACTCCAACTTCAAGCTGGACCTGGGTTCCACTACTTTCCACTCTAGTCTCTAGTTTAGCCAAGCTTAGAATAGCTGAAAACGTAGGCATTTTTGCCTAGACAACTACCAATTTTATAAATTTAATCCTCATCCTTCTAGTGGCAAGGGATCTTACGTGCCGCGTAGCGACACTTGCCTCGAGATTATTCGGTTGAACGCGCTCGCTGCCGAAACGCCCTTTCGTCGCTCAGCTCATCACCTTCACATTCGCGAGGGATTGAACTCGCGCCGGCCTTATTCCGTCCCCCCCGCCCATCACCCACCCCTTCGTATTCGCGCTTGCCTCGATACACTCTCTCGTCGCCCACCCCGTTTTTCCCATTTCGTCCCATCGCTTGCACGCTCTCCCCTCCTGTCCTGCCGCCCTCTCTCTCACCCCTCCCTTCCCGTCGCGCTCTCTCTCTCTCCGCGCCCTTCTCGTCGCCCTCTCTCTCGCCCCTCTCTTCCCGTCGCGCTCTCTCTATCCGCGCCCTTCCCGTCGCCTCCCTTCCCATCGCGCTCTCTCTCTCCCCTCCCTTCCCGTCGCCCTTTCTCTCCCCCCTCCCTTCCCATCGCGCTCTCTCTCTCTCCGCTCCCTTTCCGTCGCCCTCTCTCCCGTCGCCCTCTCTCCCATCGCCAGCACTCTCTCCTTCGCTCTGTCTCGTCGCCCTCTCTCCCATCGCCCTCTCTCCCATTGCCCTCGCTCTCTTCTTCGCTCTGTCTCGTCGCCCTCTCTCCCGTCGCCCTCTCTTCCGTCGCCCTCTCTCCCATCGCCCTCTATCTCTCACGTCGCCCTCGCTCTGTCCCGTCGCCCACGCTCTCTCCCGTCGCCCCCGCTCTCTCCCGTCGCCTCGCGAAATTCTCTGCCGTCTCGTAGTAATATCGACCTTGCTATCCCCCTTTCTTGAAGCTCAAAGTGTTAAGTGACGATATTTTTAGCTGCTGGCGGGGCGGGGCTAATCACCTGATGCTAAATACTTATGCAGCCAACTAGTTCTTTTATGTTTTCTTATTATAATAATAGGGACCCTAATTTCGTACAAATTTACTTCCCCTCCCGTTGATCCCTTCAGGTCCTTGTTCCCGTTCCCTTAGTCTCTCCCCTCCATTTCCGTCGCCCGTGCTCTCTCCCCTCTATTCCCGTCGCCCTCGCGTTCTCCCCTCCCTTTCGATTGCCCTCGCTCTCTTCCCTCCCTATCCGTCTCCCTTGCTCTCTCCCCTCCCTTTCCGTCGCCCTCGCTCCACCTCATCTGACCCTCCCCCATGCCCCTCCCATCTCCCTACCATTCCGCAGATTTTGCTCACGCATCTCTCTTCCCGCGTCCTCGTTTCTGCTGCACTAAGTGTCTCTTCTCTCGTGCCCTGAAATTCTCTGTTTTTTTCGCTTCTTGTTTTTCCCATGTTGTTATTGCCTCCCTTGCAGGCCCATGTCTAAGGCATTTGCTTTGCGTGCGTTGGGCTTGCTTTGCATGAGTTGGACGTGCTTCACAATCCGAATTTGGCACTGGATATGAATGAGAATTGCGCATCGCAATGTTTTGAGTGACGCATTTGCACATGCTTGCGATGATTTTGTTTGAGTTGAAGTTTGGAAACTCGACCAGCATCATAATGCGCCTGAAAAAAAATAAAGAAAAGCACTTCAACTTTCAAGTGGACCCAACTAGAAGGGAGGGGGTCACTATTTTAGCTGCTGGCTTTATGATGTGGCGTTGGTTTTGTGAGTGAGGGGCCAGGCCATCCTTGGCTTGGAAAGGAAGCTGGCAGAATTCAGCCGCCATGACGGTGGGAGTCCCCTTGGTTGCTTCTTTCAGTTTGGAGCCTCGTGGGGTCTGTTGGGAGCGGGATGAGGCAGCTCTCTTGGTTTCTCCTCGCCTTCTTTTGTCACTTCCTTACCAGGCCTGTCGATTCAAGGGCATATGCCCTTAATGCCCTGAACATTCCGGGCTACTTTTGCTCCAGCTCGACTGCCAAAAGTCCTAGAATCGCACTGCACCCATGCCACTAAGTGCCTCGCTCGACCCTTCCCCGGATGCGTTAAGGGCCCAAACCAGGCCTTCCCCTGTCTCGAAGTTCTGGTTTCTGGTTGTAGGACCCACCCCTCCCCCTCCCCCAAATTCTGCCTGACCCCACCCCCCCTTTCTCCTTAGGTTGCACGAGACGAGTGGGTTTTTCCCTTAGCGTTTTCTAGCCAATCCTGTGTTTGTAAAGTGTTTAAGTCAGCTTGGAGCACCCGAATTTTCCCTTAGCGTCTTTCAGTGACCCCCCCCCTTTCTCCTTAGGTTGCACGAGAGAATTGATTTTTCCTTAAGTGTTTTCTAGCCATCCCGTGTTTGTAAAGTGATTAAGTCAGCTTTGGAGTACCCAAAATTTTCCTTAACGTCTAAGTGCAAACTCTTCACAGGCCCAGATTTTAAGTTTTCACTTTGGGGTGCGCCCGTGATCGTAAAGGGCGCCCAAATGCTCAACTACACCAAAAACAGGGTCAGATGGGGAGGAGCTGGGGAGCGCAAGTATGGGTCCCAGGAAGTTCGACAGGCCTGTTCCTTATCTCCACTTGCACTATCTTTCAGGCCTGCCGTTTTCTTATCTCTGATCAGGCCCCCTGTCCAGCAATGTCAGCTGCTGGTTGCACTATCCCCTAGTTCACTCGCATGCCTGCACTAACTTGGAAGTCAAGTCATTAATTTGCCGCGACTTTGGCTGGCAATCGATAATAATATGAATGAGAGTTAGCCGAATGTCGTGAGGACGTTGTCAGGCCGTGGCGGATTGGGATTCGAAGTTAAGAATGTATCGTACGTCACTTACAATGGATTTGATCCCGCGGATATGAAGTTAAAACCCACAGGCCAAGAAGTTCAAGCTTAGGAAGCTTGGTTGGGAACAAACCTGCTATTGGCACGCGAAAGGACTGATCCGTCGAAAAGGTTGGACGATGTGGGCGAACTTGATCAGGGTCGCCAAAGTAACCACACCCTCAATGCGACAAGAACACCCCCACCTATTAATCGCACAAACCCACCGGCGACCACAACCCATGTCAGAGTGTCGAGCCCCCCAAGGACACTTCTATCAGGAGCTCAGTAACCCTATCTATGCCACCTGGTTCAGAATAAGTAGAGTGTGATATCGTCACCGCACAAACCAACGACCCGTGACTGCGTAATCTATATATTTCAAGGTCCCCTAACAAAGACACAAATAGAGATATTTCCATCGCCGAAGCGTCCAGGTGCGAAATCCGTGAAATAAGCTCTTCCCACCACGGTTAGGGTTAGCTCGTGCTGAAATTTCCTCACGCCACGATTCCCCTACTCTCACGCTAGGGTTTTCTCCCCTTCTTTACGCCAGGATTCCCCATCCCGGACCCGTCGCGCTGCTATTTCTTCCCGTCGCAGCGCGTAGCCATTTTTGACGCGCTGTGACTTCATGACGTCGCCTGCAACACCAAGATCATCGAATATTCTCATCCCGAACGCATCTGTTCCATTCCCGCCGCGCTTAGGTTCCCAACCCCGCATGCTTCCATTCCCTCCCAGGAACCCCCTACCATTCTCCCCCGCCCCTTTCACGCTTCCATTTCTATCCCCGCATGCTACCATTACCCCCCCTTTCACGCACCCATTCCCCCCGGCCCCCTATATCAGACTTATATGACTTAGCCTATGTAGGCTATAGTGGGGTAGCACATATGGGGTACAACACATTTCTAGAGTTTGTACTTGTACCCAACTTTTCCCTTAGTCATTCCATTCCTCGTTTCTCACATGGTATAGAGCAGGTTCCCTAGTGGGAACTTCCTAGGGCCCACCACTGAAATTTTTTTTTCCTGCCCTGAGATCGAGTCGCACCTGACCGAGGCGCGCCCTGTGTGCCGCCCTCCCCTTAGCGACCCGTCGCGCCGCCCTTGGCGGCCCACCTTCTCTCACGGCCCCTCGCGACCCCGTCGCCGCCCCCTAGCGGCCCGTCGCGCCGCCCTGAACGGCCCATCGCGCCGCCCTCAACGGCCCCTTGCGGCCCCACCTCTCGCGGCCCCGTCGCCGCCCTCTCGCGACCCCGTCGCCTCCCTCTCACGGCCCCGACGCCGCCGTTCGCGGCCCCGCCGCCGCCCTTAGCGGCTGCGTCGCCGCTCGTCGCGGCCCTGCAGCCGCTCCTCGCGGCCTCGTCGCCGCCCTCTCGCGGTCGCGTCGCCGCCCTCTAGCGGCCCCCAGTGCCGCCCTCTTGCGGCCTCGTCGCCGCCCTCTCGCGGCCCAATCGCCGTCCTCTTCACGGCCCGTCGTGCCGCTCTCAACGGCCCCCTGCGGCCCCACCTCTCCCGGCCCCTTCACCGCCGAGCCGCCAAGCAACTGAGCAGCCGAGCAGCTGAGCAGCCGAGCCGCCCAGCCGCCGAGTCGCCTGCGGCCGAGCCGCCGAGCCGCCGAGCAACCGAGCCGCCCAGCCGCCCAGCCGCGGAGTCGCCTGCAGCCGAGCCGCCGAGCCGCCGAGCAGCCGAGCCGCCAAGGCCGCCGTCGAGCCGCCACTGCCTCTGTCGAGCCGCTGCCACCGCTGTTGCAACCCTGGTACTACTGGCGCGCCCCGGCCCTACCCACTCGGACTGGTGAGAGCATTCCTTGCTACACCACTGCTGTCATGGCTACCCCCAGTGTCCTTACCTTTGATGCTGAGGGTCGTGCTGTTGACTTCAAGGTCTGGGTCGATGACCTGCAGCTTTTCCTACAGTGCGATAGGGCAGACGGACTCTCCCTGTTCGATCTCACCTCTGGTGCCTCTCCTGCCCCGCCTGCTGGTGTTGATAGCACTGTTCGCTCACAGTGGGCCACACGCAATGCTGCTGCCCGTCTTGCTGTGCGTCGCCGCTTACCGACCGCTGAGCGTGCGCACTTTAGTCAGTACAATAGTGCTAAGACCTTGTACAACGCTGTAGTTGCACGCTACTCTTCCCCTACCACTGCTGCTCTTAGCCGCCTCATACTGCCGTACCTGTTCCCTGACCTTGCTGCCTTTTGCACAGTCGCTGACCTCATTACGCACCTTCGCACTAGTGACACTCGCTACCGCGCTGCGCTTCCTGCTGAGTTCTGCGTCAAGAACCCTCCCCCCATGTACATCACCCTCTACTACATAGTCACCTGGCTCCCTGACTCCCTTCGCTTAGTCAGGGACCACTTCCTCTCAGTTTGCCCCACCACACTCACCGTTGACCTCCTCGAGGAGCGCCTCCTGGCAGCAGAGAAGAGCATAGTCGCTGTAGGAGCCTCTAGAGGTGACCCGCGTGCCCCTGTCTTTGAGGGGTGCTCCCCCTCCCCCTTTTTGCACTCTGTTGCCTCTGCTGCTGCCGTCGACTTCGTTGGCTCCGAGTCGGTCGGCGCTGCGTCTGCCCCTAGCGGGCGACGCCGCACCGGCAAGGGCAAGGGGGGCAAGGGCGCTAGAGGGGCTGGCGGGGGCGGTGGAGGTGGAGGTGGAGGAGGCGGAGGGAGTGGGGGTGGTGGTGGGAGTGGTGGCGGGGGTGGGGGCTTCGGTGGCGGCAGTGGCGGCAGAGGCGGCAACGGCGGTGGCGGTGGGAGCGGAGGAGGAGGCAATGGCGGCAGTGGTGGAGGTGGCGGCGGCAGAGGTGGAGCTAGTCGGGGTGGCTCTGCGCAGCGGAGCGGCTCAGGTGGTGGTCAGCGCCAGCAGCAGCAGCGCACTCGTGAGACCCCGTCCCCCCAGCGGCTTCGTGAGTGGTACACTGCGCGTCAGCGAGGTCGGGGTGCTGGTCCCTGTACCTACATCCTCCGTACCGGCGACCGAGTTGGTGAGCAGTGCGGGGGCTTGCACTCCACCCAGCGCTGCTTTGGCCGCCTGACGGACGCTTGGCGTCACCAGTTCCCTGACGCCACTGAGATCCCTCGCTGGGGAGAGCTGTCTAGGGCGGGGGTTGCTATCTTTGATCTTGACTATGATGCTATTCTTGCTGCCATGTATGTTGTGTCTACTAGTGATGAGGGTGACTGTTACCTGTGTCTTCCGCCTGACCCGGGCATTGCGGCTGCTGCTCTAGGTGCTGGTGAGGCTGCTGCTCTAGGTGCTAATGCGTCTGCTGCCCCAGGTGCTGGTGAGTCTGCTCTCTCAGGTACCACGTCGGCTCAGGCCTTACACACCTTCACCCTTGACTTGGGTGCTTCCCGCTCCTTCTTTCGAGACCGCACCACACTTACGCCGCTTAGTCAGCCGGTTGCGGTCTCCCTGGCGGACCCCTCTAGGAGTCCTGTCCTTGCTCGCTTCTCGACTGTCTTACCGTGTCCGGCAGCCCCCTCTGGCACCTGTCAGGTCTCTACCTCCCCTCGTTCTCTACAAACTTGGTCAGTGGTGCTGATCTACAGGATCGGGGGGTTGACCAGTTCACTCCTGCGAGTCAGCGGGTGACCCACTGCACGTGTGCTCGGACAGGCCGACACTTGGCCACGTTTACCCGTCGGCCGAGGTCGAGCCTTTACACACTGACTACTGATTCTCCTCCGATTGCTGAGTCTGGTCAGGTAGCTGCGTCGAGTCAGGTGTTTGCTGCAGCGTCCCGGTCTGGTCCTGAGTCTGCTCCCTGCTCGTGTCGTCTCCTGTCCCACCAGACTCTCCTTTGGCACCACCACCTTGGTCACCCCTCCCTGCCTCGTCTCCAAGGCATGGCCTCCCGTGTCCTTGTCTCTGGACTCCCCCGGTCCCTCCCTCCCCTCCCTCCGGGGCCTGCCCCTACCTGCGTTCCCTGCGTCGAGGGGCGGCAGCGCGCCACCCCTCACTCCTCCGAGTTTCCTCCGACAGAGGCTCCCCCGCCCGCGTCCGTGGCCATGGTCACGAGCGTTACTTCATGTTGGTGGTTGACGACTACTCGTGTTACACCACGGTGTTCCCCTTGCGCAGCAAGGGTGACGTTACTGAGGTGTTGATCGACTGGATCCGCGCAGCTCGTCTCCAGCTCAGACAGAGTTTCAGCTCAGACTTTCCTGTTCTGCGTCTGCACTCTGACAGAGGCGGGGAGTTTTCCTCTGCCCGTCTGGGAGCCTTCTGTCGTGCACAGGGCATCCGCCAGACCTTCACGCTTCCGGACTCTCCACAGCAAAATGGGATTGCTGAGCGCCGCATTGGCATGGTCATGGACGTCGCTCGTACGTCCATGATCCATGCGGTTGCTCCCCACTTTCTGTGGCCGTTTACGGTTCAGTACGCAGCACATCAGCTCAACCTTCAGCCACGGGTCTCCTTGCCAGAGACCTCCCCCACCTTGCGGTGGACCGGGAAGGATGGCGATGCGTCTGCGTTTCGGGTCTGGGGATCTCGGTCGTGTGTCCGCGACTTGTCTGCGGACAAGCTGTCCCCCCGTGCTGTTCCCTGCGTCTTCCTTGGCTTCCCCCCTGACGCGCCTGGTTGGCAGTTTTACCACCCCACCTCGAGCCGTGTTCTGTCCTCCCAGGACGTCACCTTTGACGAGTCGGTGCCTTAATACCGTCTCTTCCCCTACCGCACTGCGCCCCTCCCCCCCCCCCGCCGCTCTTCCTTGCGCCAGGTCCTCCCCCGGTAGACCCTCTCCCGCCTCAGGGTCCTGCCCCATCAGGTGTGTCTCAGGTAGACGCAGTCGAGCCTGCCGAGGTAGCTGTTGACTCTGGTGCTGCTAGGGGTGCTGAGCCTGGGGGTGCTGGGTCTGGGGGTGCTGAGTCTGGGGGTGCTGAGCCTAGGGGTGCTGAGGCTTGGGGTGCTGAGCATGGGGGTGTGGAGCCTGGGGGTGTTGCGCCTGGGGGTGCGGAGCCTGGGGGTGCTGAGCCTAGGGGTGCAGAGTCTGGGGGTGCGAAGCCTGGGGGTGTTGGGTCTGCTCGTGTGGCGTCTGGCGATGATTCGTCAAGGCGGGAGCTACTCTCTCCGCAAGAGCTGCGCGAGTGGTTTGCCCGGCACTGGAGCCTTGCTGCTAGAGCTGGAGGTACTACTGTTGCTGCTGGTCCTGGAGGTGCTCATACTAGCGGTACTGGAGCTGCTGGGACTGCGGGTGCTGCTGGGGCTGCTGGAGTTAGTCCTGCTGGAGGTACTGCTGGAGCTGCTGGCGGTACTAGAGGTGACGGTCCTGCTGGAGTTGGTGCTGCTGGAGCTGCTGGAGCTGGAGCTGCTGGGGGTGTTGGCGTTGGTGGTGCTGCTGGTGCTCGTGCTTCTGAGGGTGCTGGAGTTGGCACTGTTGGAGCTGGAGGTGCTGCTGGCACTGATGCTGCCGCTGGGGGTACTGGTGCTGTCCCTGCTAATTCAAGAGGCGCTGCGCGGCCGAGGCCGTACTTCGTTCCGCTCCTTGAGCAGGTTCTTGGTCTGCCGCCCTCTACTGGTCCTGCTCCTCCCTTAGAGAGTCCACAGCCTGTCCAGTCGCGGTCACAGTTACAGCCCGCCTTCCCCCTACCTGCTCCTTCTCCCTACACTGGTCCTATTGGAGGTCTTACTGAGCGTCTTGAGCCTGCGTCTCGTCCTGCGTCGCCTGTTCGTGCTGCTCGCACTAGTGGTCGTGTTCCGCGTCCGCGTCCTCCTGCGGTCCCAGGCACACACCAAATGGCACTACGTCCGTCCACTGCTCCTCTGCGTGTCCCGTTGCCGTCTCCTCCAGAGTCCTCTCTTCCTGCCCTTGTTGACCTGGAGTCTGACTCTCTTCGTGCTGCCAGTCCTACTGTCACGCGTCTCCTGGCTACTGTTGTCACTGACCCTTCCTTTGAGTCCACTGCTGTGTCTGCCTTAGTTGCTGAGCTTGTCGACTTTGCTGCTCGATGTCGTCTAGACTACGCCACTAGTCTTGCTGCTGAGTCTGAGTCTGTCTGTCCTCCGTCCGTCGGGGGTGAGTGTGCTCTTAGCACGGACGTCCTTGAGGACAAGTAGGAGGAGTTCCAGTGTTTTGCTGCTGCTTTGCCTCATCTCGTGTCCACGCTGATTGCCCCTGAGGGAGACCCGGATGCACCAGACATCCCGACTCCTCGATCGTACGCTGAGGCGATCGAGGGTCCCTACTCCTCACAGTGGCAGTCAGCCATGGACGCAGAGATGGCTTCATGGAAGTCCACAGGCACCTACGTCGACGAGGTTCCCCCACCTGGGGCGAACATCGTCAGTGGCATGTGGATTTTCAGGGTGAAGCGGCCGCCGGGTTCTCCACCTATCTTCAAGGCGCGTTACGTGGCTCGAGGCTTCACTCAGCGGCAGGGAGTTGACTACTTTCATACCTTCTCTCCCAACCCGAAGATGACCACTCTTCGGGTGCTGCTGCACATAGCCGCTCAGCGCGACTACGAGCTTCACTCTCTTGACTTCAGCACAGCTTTCCTGCAGGGCAGCCTGCACGAGATCTGGCTGCGCCGCCCACCTGGCTTCACTGGGTCGTTCCCTCCTGGTACCCAGTGGAGCCTCCGGCGGCCAGTCTACGGTCTCCGCCAGGCGCCCCGTGAGTGGCACGACACAGTGAGGACTACACTTGCGGCTCTTGGGTTTGCTCCTTCTACTGCCGACCCGTCACTGTTTCTGCGCACCGACACCTCTTTGCCGCCGTTCTACATCCTCGTGTACGTCGACGACTTGGTCTTTGCCACTGGTGACACTGCTGGACTCGTCCACGTGAAGTCCGAGCTGCAGAAGAGACACACGTGCACAGACCTGGGTGAACTGCGCAGCTACCTTGGCTTGCAGTTCACCCGGGACAGAGCACAGCGCACCATTACCCTGACTCAGTCACACATGGTGCAGCAGGTCCTTCAGCGCTTTCACTTCACGTACTCCTCGCCTCACGCCACTCCTCTGTCTACTCGCCACTCGCTCTCAGCTCTGCCTTCGGATGAGTCCGTAGAGCCGAGTGGCCCGTACCCAGAGCTTGTTGGCTGCCTCATGTACCTGATGACCAGCACACGACGTGACCTCGCATACCCTCTTAGCATCTTGGCACGCTATGTTGCTCCTGGGAGACACCGACCAGAGCACATGGCTGCAGCGAAGAGGGTGTTGCGCTACTTGTGCAGTACGTCGGGCATGGGGCTAGTGCTTGGAGGGCGACGTCGAGTGGTCCTCACAGGTCACGCAGACGCTTCTTGGGCTGACGACCAGGCTACGCAGCGATCGTCATAGGGTTACACCTTTAGCCTTGGCTCCAGCTCTGTTTCGTGGCAGTCTACCTGCTCGTCTTCTGTTCTCGGCTCCAGCTGTGAGGCTGAGATCTACGCGGGGGCCATGGCTGCACAGGAGCTACGCTGGCTCACCTACCTGCTGACTGACCTAGGAGAGCCACCTCGTTCTCCTCCAGTTCTGTACGTAGACAACAAGGCCATGCTGGCCTTGTGTCGGGAGCACAGACTGGAGCACAGAACGATGCACATTGCTTTTCGCTACTTCCTTGCTCGTGAGCTGCAGCAGCATGGTCAGCTCCGCTTTGCTTACATGGCCTCTGAGGCCAACACTGCTGATATCTTTACCAAGGCACTTTCGCCTTGTGATCATCAGCACTTCTGTACGATGCTAGGTCTTGTGCCTATTTGGCCTCACTTGCTCACTTCTTGACCTTGCTTGTACTGTGATCTTTCTATACCTGCACTTGCTTGTTTATCTTTATATATTATCTTGCATGTGAACTGGCCTTGTGGCCTTGCTCTTGTGCTCGGACTGTGTGGTGACGTTGTGATCCACCCTGAGCTTGCTTTGCTTTGCTTGACTGGTCTTGTGACCCCTTGTTCCCCCCCACTTTGCCTATAGGGGTGTGTCAGACTTATATGACTTAGCCTATGTAGGCTATAGTGGGGTAGCACATATGGGGTACAACACATTTCTAGAGTTTGTACTTGTACCCAACTTTTCCCTTAGTCATTCCATTCCTCATTTCTCACACCCTATACGCTTCCATACATTCCCCCGCATGCCACCATTCCCCCCTTTGCACGCTTCCATTCCCCGCCCCCTCTCACGCTTCCATTACCTCCCCCGCATGTTTCCATTCCTCCCCATTTCACGCTACCATTCCCCCCCGCCCCCATTATGCTTCCATTTCTTCCCCCGCATGCCACCATTCCTCCCCCCTCCTTTGCCCCCTTGCTTCCCCTCCTTTTCCCCCCTGCTTTCTCTCCTTTCCCCTCCTGCTTCCCCTGCTGCTTCCCCTCCTTTCCCCCCCTGCGTCCCCTCCTTTCCCCACCTGCTTCCCCTCTTTTCTCCCTCTCCTTTCCTTCATTTTCCTCTCCTCCCTCCCTCTCCTCCCTTGTCCAATCCCCTCCCTCCCCAACCCTAAACCCTCATCCAATCCCCTCCCTCCCCTCTCCTCACTCGTCCAATCTCCTCCCCTCCCTCTCTCATCTTCCCTATCCCCCCGAATCCTACTCTCCCCTTTTCCCCTACACCCCCTCTTCCTATCTCCTCCTCCTCTTCGCCCTCTCCTATGCCCTCGTTTACCCCCCTGCTAGCCTCTTGCTTCTCCCACGCATCCCCCCTGTTCCCTCTCTGATAGCCCCTTGTTTCCCCCCTGCTAGCCCCCTCTTCCCTCCCTTCTAGCCCCTTGTTCCTCCCCTGCCAAATCTCCTCACTTGCTCCCTTCCTCTCTTCTGCACTTCCCCCCTTCCTCTCTGTCCCGCCTTTCCTCCCTTGCTTCCCCTTGTTTACTTTACCCCCTTTCTTCCCCTCATTTTCCCCCCTGCTTCCCCCTCATTTCCTCCCATGCTTCCCCTCATTTCCCCCCCTGCTTCCCCTCATTCTCCCACCTGCTGTCCATTATGCTCCCCCCTTGCTTACTGTTCCTTTCCTCATGCTCGCCATCCTCCCCCCCACTCACCCCTTATTCCCCTCCAGTTTACCCTCTGTTTCTCCGCTCCTTTCTGGTTTTTGGGCCTTGACAGCACAACTTGAAGGTCATCCAGCCCTCGTGTCCTTGTTCTTGAGTGGTTCTCTTTGCAGCAGGGCCCTAGATATCAGACTTTGGAGTCTGATTCAGAGTCCGTTCAGACTTTTTTTTTGTACCTAGTCTGAACTCAAAGAATTTTTTTATGCACCCTGTCTGATTTTTCAGAGTTTTTTTAACTGACTTGTCTGAAATTTCATAGTAGTTATAGCAGTGTAGGCTGAGCCTCAAACTTGTATCGGGGGTCCACTCTGAAACCGGTTATACAGGGGTTTCCACCGACTGAATGAAAGGTTATCGGAACGAAACTTCCTCGAAACTTTTTTTCGATACACCCACGTGTGTACGGGCCAGCACTAACGATTTCCTTCGGATAAAACTGCTCGATTAGGGGTATCAGGATACACTACTTTGTCGACGCTAACTCGAGTGTCGAATTCATTGGGGGCTTATAATAACACTTAAATTGTGAGACTAGATAGCCAATCGCACATGGCCAAAACGATTTTAGCGAATCGCACATGGCGAAAAGCGAATTGGTTCAACCGAAAGCCGTGTCACATATGAGTCTCGTACTTCAGCAGAACCGCACATCATTTCCCCTTCCCAAACCGAGTCAAAATTTTGAATCTGCAACTTTAGGAGAGAATATTCCGCGCATATAGGGTGTACACAGTTGAAAACTCTTGCTGCAGCCAGCGCGCCCAGCACAGAAAAGTTCCGAGCGATACCGTGCCTGCTGCCACGTCAGCTGATTGGGAGCTTGCCACACTTGGCACTTGCACGAGGCCATTGTCTGATGCCCACACGTCGACTCGACCCTGACTGCTCAGTGATCCTAACTCTTGACAAATGACCAATCAGAGTGCCCCACTTTTGGCCGTACAATTGCGTTGGTATGCTGTAATCAGCTTCAATGCTATGATAGCTATGCTGTTATGAAACTGCATGAACATCTTAAAATTTGAAGTAACTCTGACAGTTCAGACAAAAGAAGTTGTGCTTGTCTGAATTTTCAGACTAAACAAGAGGCGACGAAATTGTCTTAGGGTTGCGAAGCGTTTTGCGTATTTACATACATTTGTACAACTAAATCTGTACATGATGCTGTAGTATGACACTAAGATGTACTTCATCTCACTTGGAGAGTAATGAAAAATCGCATCTGCAGGAATCGAACCGGAGACTTTTCGATTTCCCTTCCAATTTCAATCATCTGCAGCAGTACTGATGTTGTGCATGAACAAATAATTTAATTGGACTTAAAGCTTTGCGACGAATCAGAAACTGCTCTAGGATTTGTTTGTTCCTTTTTTTTTCTCGCTGCTCCTTCTGGATAGATGAGCTCCCCGCCAGACACGCTCCACCTACTAGCGCAAGGTAAGAAAATCAAATCAAACAAAATCAGATCGTTACAAGCTAGACTAACATTTCTCACTCTCATATCGTAGTCGTTTAACATAGTATTGGCCGCAGGTTTTTTAAGGCTTAGGTTCTAGGATTGTTGTAGATACTTTAGCTTTAGGTCTTTCACTAGATTGCATCCATGCTTCAAGTATTCATCGCCTCTTTCCTGTGTTGCATGCTTACAGTCTCGTATTTGCATATTTCATTGACGTTTTTACTTCCTTTCATCTTATGTTTTTGTTAGGTCGATTTGAACGCCAACCTTCTTTGCCTTGATAGCCAGATTGAAATTAACTCGACCCGAGCAGCATGTCGTTCTCTCTCTCTCTCGTTCTATCTCTCTCGTTCTCTCGTTCTCTCTCTCTTACATTCTCGTTCTATCTCTCTCGTGCTCTTGTTCTCTCTCTCTCTATGTCTCTCTCCCTCTTTCTTTCTCTCTCGTTCTCGTTCTATCTCTCTCGTTCGCGCTCTCTCGTTCTCGTTCTCTCTCTCTCGTTCTCGCTCTCTCTCTCTCTCTCTCTCTCTCTCTCTCTCTCTCTCTCTCTCTCTCTCTCTCTCTCTCTCTCTCTCTCTCTCTCTCTTTATCTCTTTCTCGTTCTCTCTTTTCCGTTCTGTCTCTCTCGTTCTCTCGTTCTCGTTCTCTCGTTGTCGTATTCCCTCTGTCGTTCTCTCACTCTCGTTCTCTCTTTGTCGTTCTATCACTCTCGTTCTCTCTCTCTCGTACTCTCTCTCTCTCTCTCGTTCTCTCTCTTTCGTTCTCTCTCACTTTCTATCACTCTCGTTTCAATCAAAGCTACCGTTTCTGGTTGCATCCAAACTACCGTTTTTTTTTGTTCATGTAGTTCTCTCCCGCCCACTTTCTATAGCTCTTCGTTACCCTTTCTTTATAGGCAGCAGCAAATTAGTGTGTGGTGTGTAAGTCTTGTGTTCTTGATTCCAACTTTATTCACTGATGTTCAAATGTGTATCTGCTGATTCTTACAAATCCGTTTTCATCCGTCGTTTTCAATCTCCAAATCGTTTTCATCGGTTATTTCAGTCTCTTTTTTTTTCTTCCCATTCTATTTCCCATTTCTCTCCCTGTTTTCTCCTCAGAGACTTTGCTGTATCCTTCAAGAAGTCCACTTTCATTTGGAATATGAAACTATACCAGTGGCTGATGTTCTGTAGGATAATTGTTTTGTGTTGGTATATTTCCTTGCATGTTTCTGTTTATTTCGTTCGAGTGTTCAGGTTTGTGTGCGTATGCTTGTGGTTGTGTTTGCATGTTTGTATGTGTGCATGTGCATTCATATCCATGTATGGTTGCATTAACAATGCATGTCTGTGATTTTTAAAAAGAAAGCTCAGATCTATCATTTCACATAAGGTTCATTGGCGCACTCAGTGACTCGTGTGCGACCACTTCGAACTGGATTTGATAGAGTTGACTTCTTTTTTAGATTTCACAGAGTGTGTTGTTTCATGTGATTGTTGATTATTCAAAATCTATGCTATTGACCTCCCCCCCATGCTAGGCAGGGGATGGCGGTAGCTTAGTTTTTGGGTCGTTAACTGTCACGCATTTTATTGTGTGCATGCATGTGCATCATGATTCATGACATCACACTATTAAACATTATGCATCATATAGCATTATTTATGCATCATGCATCTTTTTATCATTACCACAGCACCATTTAATAGTAGCACATACTAATATATAACAGTACAGCATATATTCACCAAACCACTGACCAGAAAAACATATGATTTAATATTTTGTGAACAACATTTAAAATTCTTCAACATGCACACGTGTGGGAAGGGTACTGTAGTTTACGGATTTTATTTTCATGTTCTATTAAAAATGATAAACATGAAAATAAAATCTTGCAAAATCGATCGCAAAGGGTTGCTTCGCAACCCAAAAAAATAGGTAACTCTGACAGCCAGACTAGTAAGAGGGGTGTACTCTGAGGCGTCAGACTACCTCAAAACGAATCTAGGGGCCTGCTTTGCAGCTTGGTCGAACCAAATAAGTAGAGGGGGTCTACGGCTTTTTTGTAAAACTACGGTATTGTATCAATCAAACGAGCATCACTTTATTCAAGACGGATAGTGCATGCAAAATTTGATGACGTAGATAGGTAACATCTGGACCTTGCAATAACTTCTTTTCCATCTCCGAGTAAAGCATTGTTACATGATGCAACTAGGCACAACACCGAGGGGTGCAATTTGTAACCATGTTCTACAAATTTCAAGAGAAATGTGAGAGTTGTCCACTGCTCTAGCTGTTTAGTGTTCGCAACATTTTCTTGTGCCTGCTGCTGCTCTACGCTTCTCTAGCTTCTCTACCCTGCCAAACTCCTCTGAGCCCGCACTAGTCCTGCTTGAAGTGAAAGCAAAGGGTCGAGAGATGGGAAGACAAGGACGAGAGGTGTGAAGGCAGGAAAGGAAGAAGGGGAATAGTGGGGAACAGTGAGAAACGGAGGGGAATGGAGTGGGCACTCACTCGTGATAGAGACTAGGTATTATTCAGGAGAGGGAAAATGGGAAAATGCAGGAAGTAATCCCTCGCCTACTCTGTCCGTCCCCATCTGTTCGTCCCCAGCTGTCCGTCCCCATCTGTCCCTCCCCCTCTGTCCATCCCCATCCGGTGTGTAGGGGATTATGGAGGCAGGATACAGGGGGGGCAAGGCGTGCCTCTGTGTGGGGGGCCATGGAGGTGGATACAGGGAGGAAAGGAGGGTGGTGTGTGGCGGGGTATGGGGATTGTGCTTGTATGCATGCATGGTTCAAAAAGCCACCTCCACCTGCCCCTGCCCCTGCAGCGTTAGCATGTGAAGCATGATGAGGCATGGCGGCGGTAGATGTCGCACCGCCTGCTGCAGCGGTGGTGGCGGAAGTGGGTGGGGCAGCCCCACTGCGCGTGCAGGGAGAGATGCAAGACGAACCAGCCACGGCGTGGCTTGCTTTGCTGCCAAAAGCAGAGGTGTCGTGGCAATTGTGTCATGGGTGCCGCGTCTGCGACACGGACAGGGGGCAGACACGGCATGCGCGGCTCATGCCTGCCATTCCCTGAGAGTGGGGCGAAGGGGGGAACGGGCAAGGGTGGGGTGGGGACAGACGAGAGAGGGGGAAGATGAGGGGAGAGGGGCAAGATGAGGGGAGAGGGGCAAGATGAGGGCTTAGGGGGAAGATTAGGGGAGAGGGGGAAGATGAGGGGAGAGGGGGGAGATGGGGGGATATGAGAGAGGAGATGGGGGTGATGACGGGAGAGGGGGAAGATGGGGGGAGAGGGGGGTACAGCGCGGGAGATGAGAGTCACATGGGGGGGGGATAGGAGAGGTACGTGGGAGGGACAGGAGAGATGATGAGATCCAGGGAGAGGAGGGGCATTTGGGGAAAGCGAAGGGCGGAGGGTGGGGGGAAGCAGGGCAAGAGGGAGGGGGGAAGCAGGGAGGAGGGAGGGGGGAAGCATGGAGGACGGAGAGGGGAAGCAGGTGAGGCAAAGGAGAGTAGATTTGGGGGTAAACAGAGGTGGTGCGAGAAAGGGAGGTTGGGCAAAATAAAGAGAGGTGTAAAAAAATTGGGGTAAGGGAGGGCGACGGGGAGAAGGAGTGAGGGAAGAATATGCTCTCCCCCTCTGTCTCTCCCTCTCTGCCCCTCCCCTTCTGTTCCTCCCCCTCTGTCCTTCCCCTTGGTTCTCTCCGCGCCACAGTCCTTCCCCCTCTGTCTCTCCCCCTGTGTCCTTCCCATCTGCCTCTCTGTCCGTGGGAAGGAAGGAGGGAGGGAAGGAAGGAAGGAGTGCAGAGAGGGCAACAAGGAGAAGCGCGTGCGAATTGAAGAGGCGGGGGCGACGAGAAGAAGCGCGCGTGGGCGACGAGGAAAAGCGCGCGCGGGCGACGAGATAAAGCGCGCGCGGGCGACGAGGAGACCTGCGCGTGGACGACGTGGAGAAGCGTGCGCGGGCGGAGGTGAGAGAGGCGGAGGTGAGAGAGGCGGAGGTGAGAGAGGCGGAGGCGAGAGAGGCGGAGGCGAGAGAAGCGGAGGGGAGAGAGGCGTAGGTGAGAGAGGCGGAGGTGAGAGAGGCGGAGGTGAGAGAGGCGGAGGTGAGAGAGGCGGAGGTGAGAGGCGCGGAGGTGAGAGAGGCGGAGGTGAGAGAGGCGGAGGTGAGGGAGGCGGAGGTGAGAGAGGCGGAGGTGAGCGAGGCGGAGGTGAGCGAGGCGGAGGTGAGCGAGGCGGAGGTGAGCCAGGCGGAGGTGAGCGAGGCGGAGGTGAGCCAGGCGGAGGTGAGCCAGGTGCTTTCGCCTGCCCACGCGATCCCTCCTACCCATGCACCTTCGCCTGTTTGTATGTCGCATTGCCCCTGCATGGCAAATCGTGACCTAATGTCGCCGTCGCGTTGCCCTGCCGGCCAAAACGTGACCTAATGTCGCCGTCGCGTTGCCCTGCAGGGCAAATCGTGACCTAATGTCGCCGTCGCGTTGCCCTGCAATGCAAATCGTGACCTAAATGCGACGTTGCATAGCTCTGCAAGTCGAATCGTGGCCATCAGTCTGCTAACGTCACCACGCACAACTACATTTCCGGTAATGTCGGTTTTCGCGACTTCAGCACTCCCATACCTTTTGCAATTCGTGATTAGCGGGCGCCCGGTTGTCGGTATGCTGGCTAGTTGGCGGGCTGCGCGGGTCTAATAGTGGGTCCTAGAACTCGCGAATAATCACTAGCGTTTTTGGGACAAGTTTCTCTTGTCTGTGTGCCTCATGTTTACGCAGGTTGGTGTTGGGCGATAGTGCCGTGCGATGAAACCCAACTGGGCATTTGTCGCTGCTACAGTGTTTTGGTTTGGCGAATGTTCACGACCAGGTTTGTGTGTTTTCAAAAGTTGCCTCCGCTGGAAACCGGGTAACACCCAACCAACCTTAGGAAGCTTGAACCAGTTTCGTGCTTCTTGACCCTCCGGTTTTAAGATGCTAGTCCGGACGACGGTCCAGTTGAGATGGAGCAGGACGTCGTTTTTGTTAAGGAGGATAGCAGGACGGCGTTCCAGTTAAGGAGGATAGCAGGACGACGTATCAGTTAAGGAGGATACAAGGACGACGTATCAGTTAAGGAGGATAGTAGGATGGCGTTCAGTTAAGGAGGATAGCAGGACGACGTATCAGTTAAGGAGGATAGCAGGACGACGTATCAGTTAAGGAGGATAGCAGGACGGCGTATCAGTTAAGGAGGATAGTAGGACGGCGTTCAGTTAAGGAGGATAGTAGGACGACGTATCAGTTGAGACGGATAGTGTCAGAACATTATAGCTTACTTATTTGTGTAGGCTATAGTGGGGTATCCCATAGAGGGTACAACCCGATTAGGGTTTCCTATTTGTACTCACTTCATTCATAGTCATTTCATTCTCGTTCTCTCTTTCACATGGAATCAGAGCAGGTCCCCTCCTAGGGACTGTTCCTTGGGCCCACCGAAGCGCGCCCCGAGGCGCGCGTTCTTTTTTTTAGCGACCCGTCGCCTCGCCCTCCCCCTAGCGGCCCGTCGCGCCGCCTTTTCAGTCGCGGCCCCGCCGCCCTACCCTTTGACGGCCCCGCCATCCTACGTCGCGGCCCTGCCGCCCTACCCTACGTCGCGGCCCCGCCGCCGTACTTCGTCGGCCCCGCCGCCCTACGTCGCGGCCCCGCCGCCCTACCCTACGTCGCGGCCCCGCCGCCCTACCCTTCGCGGCCCCGCCGCCCTACTTCGACGGCCCCGCCGCCCTAAGTCGCGGCCCCGCCGCCCTACCCTACGTCGCGGCCCCGCCGCCCTACCCTTCACGGCCCCGCCACCCTACTTCGACGGCCCCGCCGCCCTACCCTTCGCGGCCCCGCCGCCCTACTTCGACGGCCCCGCCGCCCTCCCTTCGGCAGCCCCGCCGCCCTACCCTTCGCGGCCCCGCCGCCCTACTTCGACGGCCCCGCCGCCCTACCCCTCGCGGCCCCGCCGCCCTACTTCGACGGCCCCGCCGCCCTACCCTTCGCGGCCCCGCCGCCCTACCCTTCGGCGGCCCCGCCGCCCAACCTACGACCGCCGCGCCGCCCTGAACTAGAGCCGCCCGACCGCCCAGCCGCTGACCGCCGAGCCGCCCAGCAGCTGCCCGCCGAGCCGCCGAGCCGCCCGGCAACCGAGCCGCCGTGCCGCCCAGCAGCCGAGCCGCCGAGCCGCCGAGCCGCCCAGCAGCCGAGCAGCCGAGCCGCTGAGCCGCCCAGCAGCCGAGCCGCCGAGCAGCCGAGCCGCCCAGCAGCCGAGCCGCCAGCCGCTGAGCTGCCCTACCTCCAGACCGCCCGTTCTGCCCAGTCTGGTGAGCACAGAGCCTTCTTTTTCACTGCACTGCCCTCACACTACTGCTTGCACTACTAGGCGTCTGTCGTCATGGCTACCCCCAATGTCCTCGCTTTTGACACTGAGGGTCGGGCCATTGACTTTGAGGTCTGGGTAGATGACCTGCAGCTGTTCTTACAGTGCGATAGGGCAGACGGCCTCTCTCTCTTTGACCTTACCTCTGGCGCCTCCCCTGCCCCTGCTGCTGATGCTGACCCTACTGTTCGCTCCCAGTGGGCTACGCGCGATGTTGCTGCACGTCTTGCTGTGCGTCGCCACCTCCCTACCTCTGAGCGTGCGCACTTTAGTCAGTACAAGAGTGCTCAGACCTTGTACGACGCTGTAGTTGCGCGCTACTCCTCCCCTGCCACTGCTGCACTGAGCCGCCTCATGCTACCCTTCCTCTTCCCTGATCTTGCCGCCTTTCCCACAGTCGCTGATCTCATTACGCACCTCCGCACTAGTGACACCCGCTACCGCGCTGCGCTTCCTGCTGACTTCTGCGCCAAGAACCCCCCCCCCATGTACATCACTCTCTACTTTCTAGTCACCCGCCTCCCCGACTCCCTTCGTGTAGTCCGGGACCACTTCCTTGCGGTCTGTCCCACCACTCTCACAGTCGACAGCCTAGAGAAGGCCCTCCTAGCGGCGGAGAAGAGCATCGTCGCTGTAGGTGCCTCTCAAGGTGACCCCCGCGCCCCCATCTTTGAGGGGTGTTCTCCTTCCCCTCTCTTGCCCTCTGTCGCCTCTGCCGCTGCGGCCGACCTCGTTGGTCTTGAGTCGGCCGGTGCAGCGTCTGCCCCTAGCGGGAGACGTCACCCTGGCAAGGGCAAGGGGGGCAAGGGAGCGGGTGGGGCTAGCGGGGGCGGTGGCGGTGGAGGTGGAGGCGGCGGAGGGAGTGGGGGTGGCGGTGGAGGAGGTGGTGAGGGTGGGGGTGCTAGTGGCAGCAGTGGTGGCGGAGGCGGCGTCAGCGGCGGCGGTACTGGCGGGGGTGGCGGCGGTGGCGGAGGTGGAGGAGGTGGAGGAGGAGGTGGTGGAGGTGGTCAGAGTGGCACTTCGCAGCGGAGCGGCACTGGGGGTGGTCAGCGCCAGCAGCAGCAGCAGCAGCAGCAACGTTCTCGCGACGTCCCCACTCGCACCGGCGACCGTGCGGGTGAGCAGTGTGGGGGTGCCCACCCCACCCAGCGCTGTTTTGGCCGCCTGACGGACGCTTGGCGTCAGCAGTTTCCGGAGGCCACGGAGATCCCCCGCTGGGGAGAGCTGTCTAGGGCTGGCGTAGCCATCTTTGATCTTGACTTTGATGCTATCCTTGCTGCCATGTATGCTGTGACTATTAGTGATGAGGGTGACTGTTACCGGTGTTTTCCGCCCGACCCGGGCATTGCGACTGCTGCTGTAGGTCCTGGTGAGGCTGCTGCACTAGGTACTTGCGACGCTGCTGCTCTGGGTGCTAGTGTGTCTGCGTCCCCAGGTACTGGTGCGTCTGCGCTCTCAGGTACTACGTCGGCTTTGGCCTCCCACACCTTCCCCCTTGACTCTGGGGCGTCTCGCTCCTTCTTTCGGGATCGCACCACACTCACGCCGCTTAGTCGGCCAGTTGCGGTCTCCCTGGCTGACCCCTCAGGGGGTCCTGACCTGTCTCGCTTCTCCACTGTCCTCCCGTGTCCGGCGGCTCCCTCTGGCACCCTGTCTGGTCTCTACCTCCCCTCGTTCTCTACGAACTTGGTGAGTGGTGCTGACCTACAGGATGCGGGAGTCCACCAGTTCACCCCTGCTCGTCAGCGGGTGACGCACTGCACAGAGGCTAGCACAGGTCGACACCTGGCTACGTTTACCCGTCAGCCAGGGTCGAGCCTGTACACACTGACCACTGCGTCCCCCCCAGTTACTGAGTCTGGTAGGGTCCCTGCGTCTGGTCAGGTGTTTGCTGCAGCGTCCAGGTCTGGTCCTGAGTTTGCCCCCTGTTCGTGTCGTCTCCTATCTCACGAGACTCTCCTCTGGCACCACCGCCTTGGTCACCCCTCTCTCCTTCGGCTCAGAGGCATGGCCTCCCGTCTTCTTGTGTCTGGTCTCCCCCGGTCCCTCCCTCCCCTTCCTCAGGGCCCTGGCCCTTCCTGTGTCCCCTGTGTCGAGGGGCGCCAGCGTGCTGCCCCTCACTCCTCCCAGTTTCCTCCGACTGAGGCCCCGTTGCAGACGCTTCACATGGACGTGTGGGGCCCCGCCCGCGTCCGTGGACAGGGTCACGAGCGCTACTTCCTGCTTGTTGTTGACGACTACTCGCGTTACACCACAGTCTTCCCCTTGCGCAGCAAGGGTGATGTCACTGAGGTGCTGATCGACTGGATCCGCGCAGCTCGTCTCCAGCTCAGGCAGAGCTTTGGCTCGGACTTTCCTGTTTTGCGTCTGCACTCGGACAGAGGCGGAGAGTTCTCCTCTGGCCTTCTGCGAGCCTACTGTCGTGCGCGAGGCATCCGTCAGACCTTCACGCTTCCGGACTCACCGCAGCAAAATGGGATTGCAGAGCGCCGCATTGGCATGGTCATGGACGTCGCTCGTACGTCTATGATGCATGCGGCTGCCCCCCATTTTCTGTGGCCGTTTGCGGTGAGGTACGCGGCGCACCAGATCAACCTTCACTCGAGGGTCTCCAGGCCGGAGACCTCCCCAGCCCTGCTGTGGACGGGGAAGGTTGGCGATGCGTCAGCGTTCTGGGTCTGGGGATCTCGGGCGTTTGTCCGCGACTTGTCTGCGGACAAGCTGTCCCCTCGTGCTGCTCCCTGCGTCTTCCTGGGGTTCCCCCCCGACGCCCCTGGGTGGCAGTTCTACCACCCCACCTCTCGCCGTGTTCTGTCCTCTCAGGACGTCACGTTCGACGAGTCAGTACCCTACTACCGCCTCTTCCCCTACCGCATTCCGTCCCTCCCCCCACCCCCGCTCTTCTTGGTACCAGGTCCCCCCCCGGTAGACCCCCTCCCCCCTCAGGGTCCTGCCCCTTCAGGTGTGTCCCAGGTAGATGCAGTCGAGCCTGTCGAGGTCACTGGTGACTCTGGTGCTGCTGTGGGTGCTGAGCCTAGGGGTGCTGCGACTGGGGGTACTGTGCCTAGGGGTGCTGAGACTGGGGGTGCTGAGCCTGGGGGTGCGGAGCCTGGGGGTGCTGAGCCTG